CAGCCCGTAAAGACAGACCTTCCTCCTGCCCCACGCCGTGCACTCAAGTGGAGGGCAGGAGGAGCCCGTTCCCAATCTCAAAACCAAGGCGTTCACGCCACCGAGCCTAAGGGAGCCCCTCCCGCCCAGCCTCTTCTCCAGACATTGCCCGTAAGAGATTTAGAGTTCAATAAGGAATATTTCCAGGTGCTCAGGGACAAGGAATTGCAGATGGGCCAGGCGGTCGGAGGCAAGGATGCAATAACGTACCCGCAAACATCATCATATGCTGCAAATTTGTTCCGATCTTATTTCTTCTCCCCAGATTCAGTAAAAATGACAGTGGGTAAATATTGGCAGCTCTTCCCAAGAAGATAGCAAGCTGTATTTGCACATGTTCAGGAAATTGCTCTTCCTGTGCCTCCCATTGCATCCCACCTCTGCACACAGAGCCAATTTCTGCTGCCTGATGGAAACACTGGGGAGCCTCAGAAACACCAGCCCTCTGGGTGCAAAGATAACAGCCCACCTCCAAGTGCTACAGCAGCGGGGGAAGAGCATGCTACTGCCTCACCAGAGCAACGCACACATCGCCATTTAGGAACATCACACGGAGACAAGCACACACAAAGAAGGGAAATGATGAGAGAGCAGGTTAGATGAGTGAGAGGAGAGAAAAACCACAGTTTCCCACTCTCTGCTCTCCCCTGCCAGGTCCATTTTCCACCCCAAGAATTATTTGTCCTCTGCAAAGCTCAAGTTATCACAGCTACCACAACCCCTCTGACATTCCCCAGCGCACCACACTTCACAGCTGGGTCTGAAGCTTTAAGCCAAGGCCAATTCCCAAAGATTATTCAGCAAAATGAAAGCAGCAGCAGTTGAGAAGGGAAAAAAAACCACTAATACTCTTTCTGTTTCCATAGCCTGCAAGATACAAGAATCACCAGCCTCTTCATATTGCTTTTTATCTTTGAAGCTGTGTCTTTTAATACCGGCACCCAGATGGCAAAAATAATCTTGGAGCCAGTATTCAGCACAGCCTTGAATAATATGGAAAATGCTTCCAGCTTTTATGTTCTTTCCTGAACATCGTGAATTTGCATAAGAGACGTATTTCATGATCTCTCTCATGAATGAGCTATTTCATCAGCGAGTTCGCCAGTTCCTACTGAAGAGGCACAGCACAAAATTTCAATCTCGCCACCCAAATGGCATTTCCCTGCTCTTCGCTCCCCTTACCCCATTGCGAGAACTCATCGGGGAAATTCAGCAGACCCCGCGGCAAAGCCACGCGCCAGCACTGGCAAAGATAACAACATTTTATTTACTCGTACAAACCCGCTTCACTGCAAAGGGTGAAAATAATTCTGCACATCTGAACTGGCTTCTCTGTGTTATGAAAAAAATTCCTTCAAAATCCTTGTTTTTCTGAGACATACCAGGGCCAATAGCTTGTTTCCATCAGCATCAGCCTGCAGAAGGGGAAATCCTTTCTCATGACATCACTCAGAGGCATCTACTGTCGTTTTAACTGTGCTATTTGACAAAAAAAAAATGCTTTTTTCGGGGTCAACCAAATGGAATAGCGGAGAAAAGTGGAAATAAATGGCTATACCAGACGGTTCCCATTTGCAAAGCCACTCCTGGTGCCACGTTGCCACCCAACAAAGCCCAGGGCTTCAGTACCACGTTCACATCAAACGCTGTGTCCCTGCAGCAGCTAATTCGAATGCCCATGAAAGGAGACAAGAGAGGGGAAAAAAAAAAAAAAACAAACAGAAAAGCTGGGAAAAGAATCTCCATCTTCTTAAAATAACCAGCAAAGACACCACTACATGGGAGAAATTCCCTTTTAAAAATAAAGCTAGACTGACTGAAGAAAGCCCCACGCACTTGAATGAAGAACACAACTTAGAAATGAGGCCCCTCTCCCTTTCTTTTCTTGTTCTGTAAACCAGGCTCCAAAGGATACGAAAGCCCCCACCACGAAGGTAGGGTTAAAGACGTGGTTCTGGAAGGTGAACAGTGCGAGTCCCATGTAGGAAAAGATGAAGTTTTCTGCTAAGAAATTCAGAAGCTCAAACAACTGAAAGAGAAAAACAAATTAAAAGTGAGTTAGATACAACATCGAGTTAACAAGAAAAACATGTTAGCCCATCCATCACACAATAAATACTTCTGCAGACACAACCCTAGTAAAATCCGTCTGTAGAAAGACGGATGCCCTCATTCTGGCTAAAGGGAAATAAAAAAATATTGAACTTGAAATTCAGAGAGGCTGAAGGGGACTGAGGAGCTCTCACCTGCTTAGTTCTGTGCTGGGACTCCGTAGATAAGTTGTTATAGGTATAATGGGCCTGCGTGATCCCGCAGAAGAGCACGGCCACCACACCTGGAGAGCAGAGCACCACGTTAGACTCCTGGCCATGAAAAAGGAGCTGAGCTGCACCCCACCAGCGCAGGGAACTTCATGCAATAACCCCAGTGCCCAGCATAATTAAACTTCCGAAAGCAGAGGGAAAGCCCCGACTGCAATCGGTACTGGGAGAAGCAAAACTCGACAGGCCCATCACCCCTGCAGATCTCCGTCCCAGACGCGGGGCCGTGCTGGGGCTTGCCTGTAAAGCCACCCGCTTCGTGCTCAATTAGATGAGATTATGTTGGTGTCCGGAACTCCCGAAGTTTGGTGAACTTGGTGACGTTGCAGATGGCTAAGGAGAATTTGCAGAGAAGCTGTAGGCTAAGAGCGTATCAAACCCAGTTGTGAGATGCAGCAACGCTACGTAGCCTGCCCTTAAACAGGCTGTGGCGCTGCCTTTCATTAATTTAGGCAAAAAAAATCACGAAACACTGGATCTGGGTGAAATGCAGTGCAGACAAAAAAGCAGCTGTTATGCAAACACTTGGAAAAAACAACAAAAAGGATATTAAAGCTGTCACAACTCCAGTAGCTGCTCCCATTGCAAAAGATCCGCTGAATATCCCCAGGAAGATCCCAATCGACTTGAACATTGCTGTGACATCAAACGTGTGGCTGTTGTCGCCCGCCGGCTGGTACGCAACAATTGAACTGAAAGAGGGGGAAAAGCACACACAGGAACACAACGCTCCTTAGCCGGGAGGGAGAGGCACCTCCGCCGTGCTGCGCGAGCCTGGCGAAGTGCCACCACGGCTGCGAACACCGAGCCTGAGACAGCAGGGAGACAAAACCCGGGTCCCACGCTGCAACCCCCCGCGTCCACACGCTCGCCCTGTCCCGGGGAGCTGGGGGACCCCCTTTGCTCCTGGACAGCTTTCTGCAGCTCAGCCACCCTTCCTAGGCACGGCTCTGCATGGGCTCCTTCCAGACATCAGAGAGCATCGGACCAACGCCTGTCTCTTGCCCGATCTCCTGCAATTACATTTGCTCGGCAACAGCCCATCACTCATCACAGAATGGTCGGGGTTGGAAGGGACCTCTGGGGGTCATCCAGTCCAAACCCCCGCCAAAGCAGGGTCACCCAGAGCAGGCTGCACAGGACCTTGTCCAGGCAGGTCTTGAACATCTCCAGAGAAGGAGACTCCACAGCCTCCCTGGGCAGCCTGTGCCAGGGCTCCGTCACCCTCAGAGGGAAGAAGTTCTTCCTCATGTTCAGATGGAACTTCCTGTGCTTCAGTTTGTGCCCATTGCCCCTTGTCCTGTCGCTGGGCACCACTGAAAAGAGTCTGGCCCCATCCTCCTTACACCCACCCTGCAGACATTTATAAGCATTTATAAGGTCCCTTCTCAGCCTTCTCTTCTCCAGGCTGAACAAGCCCAGCTCCTTCAACCTGTCCTTGTAGGAGAGATGCTCCAGTCCCCTCACCATCCTCGTAGCCCTTATGATGGTATTTTGGGGGTTTGGCATCAGCTTTCTATAAAGTCAGGCACTCTGGGACCACAAAGCATTGAAGTGGGAAGCCTGCATTTCTCCGTCAACTCCACAGAGGCAGCTGATGTGAATATCCCCTCGGGAACTGTAAGTTATGCCATTTTACTGCATTTAATGTGCACTACATTTATTTTGCACTGCTCCAAGTTCTGAAGTGAAATATCGCTGGGCAGCAAGGCAAACGGCACAGTGCTGGCTCACTACAGCACGCTGTTGTCTTCATCCACCAAACTCCAACAGATCTTTGTGATGAGCCGGCAAATCGGTCTCTGCGCTGATCCCATCTCTGAATCTGCTCCCTCCCAACTCCGCATCAGCCGAGCCTTGCATCAGTCATTCCACTGTTTTACTCAGGAAGGCTGAGATACAGGGGTCCCCTGTCCATCACCTAAATCCCATTTTATTATCGACTCCTTGCATCGCTTTCTTTGATGTAAACTTCCCAAAAACATTAACTTGCTAGTTAGCAATCCCTTGGCTGGCTCTGTTAAAACTCTTGGATGTGAACTTTAAACAGTTGCTGTTTAACCTCCCCAGTTCTGCTGGAACGGAAAGTTACTGCCTCGTGCACACATCCTGCAGCTCTTTTTCCCTAACTACACACCAGTATTTTTCTGCAACAGGACTGACAATCCTCCCCCTTCCAACGCGTCACGGGTCACTTCCCTTGCTAAACCTCCCTAAACCTCCCTGCTTTTCATACATTTCATTTTTCTGCATTGTCTTTTGCACTGCAAGCCGCAGATTTCTCCCTGTGATTTAATTTCTTTCATCAGTCCCATCCTCTACTTCCTTTTCACCAATGTCCTCTTATTCTGGTGTTTGGGTGTGCTTTTTTTTTTTAAATCCAGACTGGTTTCGTTTCTCCTCCATAACCAACTGTTTGGATGTCGGTTTTGCATTTTAACCTCTCACAGTTTTCCTTCTGGTTTTGCTTTTTGCGTTGCTAATAAGACATTATCGCCAGCCGCCCTCTGCGTGCTCTGCTTCCGCTGTGCCTGCCCGTGGGGCTCCCCGTGGCGTCCAGCCCCTGTGAAACCTCCCTTCGGAAGAAGCAGGCGGGGACCCTGCGGCTGGATTTTCCCCCCCCCCC